TTGTGAGATCTGGTTTAGTGAAACTAGGTATCATGGTCTGTAAATTCATCAGCCAGTCAACAAGAAAATTACATCATGATGCAAAAACTGACCAAGCAAGTGAATAAATATTCATGATCTTTTTATATGTAAAACATGGCACTTAGACAATGCAGGAGAAAATAAATGCAAATATGGTTTAGAACATCTCCTGAGGTATACACTCACTGGCATAAGAGCCACTATTGTAAAGAGCAAGCTAATGCCTATCATCCCTTACTCCACAGGCCATGGGATCAAGCTTCCCACTTTCAAATACTAACACTTCTACTCACTAGCTCTTTCACATTGAGCATGACCTCTCATAGTGACTCAATTTCCTCATCTAGTCACAGGGATATCTGATTATTATTCTAATTACTGGACTTTTCCTGAGCATTGTAAGTTAACATGTCCATCCTACAATTTTCTTTTCCTTCCTTCCCTCTGTTTATATATATACATATATATATATATATATATGTATGGCTGGGGGCACACGGGGGCGGGGCGCGGAAGGATCCAGGCGGGTCGTGCGGCACCAGCCCCGGTATATCTGTCCTCGGTCCCCGGGGCCGCCCCATTCCCCGTCCTCGCATCACGATCTTTTTCTTACACTACCGCAGCGCCGTCACCGCCTGCGCACTCCCGGCCATTATTTATATATGTTTTATATATATAAAGATAGGTAGATAGATAGATAGATAGATAGATAGATAGATTTCTCTCTGTCTTAGCCACAGGCTACTTAGAAAAAAAAGAATGCCTATATAGTTGGGTCACCAGAGTTTCTTAATCTTTTCATTGATAAACTACTGAATTAATAATAAAAAAAGGACATCCTTCCTTCCTCCTTTGGCCATGATTACTTTATCTCTTTTGTAAAGCTTACACATAGGACAACATAGTAACACTTTATGTTAAGTGATCAGAATGTGTAGAAATTTCATCTTTAATGCATTACCTGCTATGCTTAAGAAAATTTCTATCAAGTGCCACATTTCTGTGTCTCATCCTTAAGTGCTAGCGTTAAACAAAACAACACATTTAAAAACAGCATCCAATGTTCAACCACTGGTACCATATGTCAATTACCAAATTGATACTATTTTGTAGGCAGCTAAGTTAGAAATTAATATACAGTCAGAGAGGAACTGGGCTCTTAAGAAAAAAAGTCAGCAGAAAAATAAAGACATCAGAATTGAGGTTAGAGGCATATCTGAAGAAGGCCGGGCTTCAAGACAAAGACACAGGCCTATATGGCTCCCTAAAGGATAAACAATAACTTGAGATTATATTGCAATTAGCACCACCTGGCCTAATAAGTTCAGATAGGTATCAGTCACCCAGATGGGTATTCAAAGCACCTGGACCCATTCCTTCCCAGAAATGCTTTTGTCCTTTCCATGCACCTGTGCTTGTTTCCCTACTGGATCAATATTAGCTAAGCAGCTATGCATTTTGTTTGTTTGGTTTTGTTTTTTTGAAATGGGCTCTTGCTAAGCAATTAAGGCTTGCTTTGGAGTTACTATATAGCCCAGTGTACCATCAAATTTACAGCAATCCTCCTGCTTCAGCCTCCCAAGTGCTGGGATTACAGGTGTCTGTCACCATGCCTGGTTTAGCAACGATACCTGTAATCCTATAGGTTGATGGTAGTCTGACCCATGTTGTGCCTTTGCTGTATAAATCACCCCAGACAAAGGGTCTCAGTGGCCACCCTATTTGGGAACCATCCTAGAAATCCAGGAGCTATTCTTCTCTCTTTATTTATAATAAAACTCTCTTAACTTCTTCGTTTGGTTTGGAACTTCATTCCTCGATGTTGTGGGACCATGAAATTGGCACATTTGACACCTTACAGGTTGGGAGTTATAGTTCTCCTATATCAATAATATGGTCTTTGAAGGGAAGAATTCGTTCCATTTCTTTCTTTTATTCTTTTTTTTTTTTTTTTTTTTTTTTTTTTTTTTTTTTTTTTTGGTACCAGGATCAAACTCAGGACTTTGCTCTTGTGAGGCAGATGCAGTGCCACTGAGCTAAATCCCTGGCCCTGTCCCATTTATTTCTTTTTTGGTACCAGAGATAGAACTTGGGAACTTGCGCTTGCGAAGTGTCCCATTTATTTCTAATGTCTCTGTATTACAGTGTGCCTAGTGTACCTATCAGACAGTGAAAATACTAAACAAACATGTTTTGAGCCGACATGTAACTGTAGCTGCTTTAAATTCCTTTCAAGCTAAAATCTTTGCCATACTCTATAGTGCAGAATTTTAAAGTTTTAGCATCTTCAGTCATGCTTATGCTAAAAAAGGTCCCAAACCATTTTCAGAAGAAAATTTAGATAAACCATGCCTTATGTTCTCCTTTGGCCTGTTTCTGCTCAAAAGAAAATATTCATTACAATCTGTAATTACACATTTATTTGCATAGATAGCTGTTCAATATATATTTCACTCAACTGACTCTATGATAGTAAGGATGATGGTAGATTTTTCTTCCAGTATGTCCCTGAAACCTAAGGAGTCTAGTATGTGCTAGATGCTCCATAAATAAGTGTTGAATGAATGACTTTCTATTCAGAAACTTATCCTTGTTAAAGCTTTTCATCTATATGACTATGTCAAATTACACTCTAGAGCAGCCATATCCAACCTTCAGCCTGCCTTTTTTATTACCTTTTAAAAATGTTATAATAAAAATATTAAAAGGAAGTTTTATTACTTATATATTATAATAACATTATATCTTTTATATAAAGACAATTCTACACTCAACAAAAGGGGGGGGGTTGTTGCCTAAAGTAAGACAAGTAAATTTGCCCTTGGCCAGTGGCAACAGCATAACCTCAAACTCACAGATGTTTAATACTTTTCAGAAGCTAAGAAAAATATAGTATTAATTCATTCATCCCCTATTCTTTCTTTCAGTACATATTTGAACTCTTCATACTATGTGTTAGACACTCTTCTAGGTATTTGTCCTTATATTTCTATTGTATAAGGGGATGAGAAAGAGAGGATACAATAAACAAATAATAGACACCACAGAAAAACTAAATAGGTTAAGAGGAGCAGAAAGTGCTGGAATGCAGGGCATGATTGAGGCTACTTCTTTGAAAATATATATGAAAGCCCTTGTTACATGTGAGCAAGTATAACAGCACACTAGAAAGAGGAACAGCCAGTTTGAAGGTCCTGGTCTGGTAGAATCAACAATCTCTTCTAGCTCTATCAATGTTTAACATCTGGGATTTTGGAAATATGAGGAGTTAGGTAGTGAGTTTGTGGGATGGGGTTTGGTGAGAGTGGGGTAGGGTGGGGATGCTAATCTACAATGCTTAAGAAAAGTTTGAAAAACAAATAATTCAGAGAATTGTACTGCCCAAGATACTCACTAAATATTTCTTGCTGGTAACTACGGTATTTTTGTTTTGCTTTCAAGTCGTCCTCAGTGAAGAAAAGATTATATAAAAGACTTACGATAAAATCATACAAATTTGTATTTTATATAAGTGTAATTTATTCTCTAAATACATATATAATACATATATATATGTTCATATATATATATGTATTATATGCATGCATAGGATTGAACATAGGGCTCTGTGTTTGCACATTCTCTATAATTGAGCTACACTCTTAGTCCAACTATATACTTCAGTCTCACTACCTCCTCCATTGTGCTTGTTCATCACATTTCATATATGATATAGCTTGGCTTTTGGTCAAGAATTCTGGTGACATTTATTTCACAATTGATTTCTTGGCCTCAGACTGTATACAAACACTTTGGATGGGAAGCATCATATCTTGCCATGAAATCATCATACAATCAGCTCCCATTCTAATGTAGTAACACTGCCCATAACCCGTTTTCTTTGACAATTCATTTTATAGCCAGCTCAAAGAGAAAATGTTTTTCCCAACATTCCCAGCTGCACACTCTTCCGTTCTCTCCAAAAGTACACCTATCAGACATATCAAAAGGTTTTTCTTGCATGTCTCCCAAACTAAACTATAAGCTTTTCCAGGGTAACAACGAGATCATTCCCCATCCAGCGCTGTATCCCTAGCGTCTAGTATAATGCCCGGTGCTTAGCAGATAATCAGTGATTGTATAGAGGATGAAGAGTGATCTCCAAATTAAGCAAAGAATACAGCATACTCAAAAAAGCATTTTCAAAAACCAGTGATACTAGTAGACGCCCGCATGAGTTGAATGAAAGCAGGAAACAGGGTTGGGGGAAGCTGCTAATCTTCTCCACTTCAGGACTTTTTCAACTTTACACTGAAAAGCGCCAACGTCAGTGTATTAGATGCAACACTGTCCCTAGGCGGTAAGGTCCACGTTTGTTGATCTTTCCAAAGCCAAAATGCCTGAACACACCCCCTCCCCCAATCCGGGAGCTCTCACTCCGGGAGCCCTCACTCGGGGAGCCCAGGTAGCCTGGGTTAGGCTCTCACCTTCCCATTGGTGGGAGGCTCCTGGATGTAGATGTTGCTCATCCTAGTCAGTGGTTCGGACTCTGCTTCTTATTCCCCAATACAAGCGGACGGCAGAAGATACGAGGGCAAACCGGTCACTAAAGCTGTCCACTTATTAGTACACGACTCCTGAAGTTGATAGTCTGGGAAAGCTTCACTCAGATATCTCTCGAAACAGGGACACCAAACACTACCGGGTACCAAAGCTAGCCCCTCACGCACGCCGCCATGTTGCTGCCGGACCTGAACACCGCTAACCCCGAAAACGGGGATTCCTATATCTTACTGGAAGCAAGAAAATATTATAAAGTTCTCATAACTTAAGGTAACTTGCAACGTAATTTGTAACAATATTAAGAGGAGCAATCCATAAATTTTAGTGGTATTTGCTTCACGTGTCTGCAGGTCGTACCCTCCCCCCACAAACTGGCAATAATAGTTCAGACCATGCGCAGTCTACAATAGGACTCGTGTGGAAACTGCATCCACGGATACTTGGTTCCGTCCTCCCGGACATTTACAGCGTCGTTCCCTGCAGTGGAGAAAGCTCTTTGAGGCGGGTGGTGGAGGCCTCTTTGAGCTTTGCCTTCACAGCCGGCCGGAAGCAAACGTATTTTCGAAAGCTCCAAGCTCCGACGATCCCTCTTACCAGCGTAATGGCAGTCCCAGGTGAAAACTAATGGCGGGACCGCAATTCCGAGCGAGGAAGGGAGCAGATCGGGAGTGTATGTAGGACGCGGTGGGGCAGGGAGTCGTACCTGAAGGTATTAAGGCGGAGGTCTTAAAATGAACAGATTTGGTTGGTTTACATGAAAAAAATTTACACTACAAGACTGAAGGAAAGAAACCATTCCTTCCATCCCCTGTCATGTTCCAGCTGCACAGGATTATGGAGAAAGTGTGTAAACGGGAAGGAGAGAAGAGTGACGGGTTGGGAACTGCGGGCCTAAGAGAGCAAGCAGCCAAGAAGCACTGACTTTGATATAGCTTAAATATAAAATTTGAGGTGAGGGCACTTGGAGTACCCGGAAACCATGGCATTGTTTGTATTGAAAGTCCTAGCGACCGACCGCGCCTCTGCGGTTAACTTCTGGCTCTTGCTGTTGTATGCAATTGTGGTGTGGCAGTAGGCCGTTTCCTTTGCCTGTCTGAGCCTCAGTTACCATATCAGTAAAAGGACATTTGTTGAATTTTTTTTTTAAGGTTTCTTACAGCTTTCAATTTCTTTGTCCATAGGTTACTGAACCTAAAAACAGGCTAGTCTTCAAAATAATACTCCAGGAATGTTCTTGTCCATGACTCCCAGCCTACTGGAAGTTCTGGTAGGGGCAGACACCTCTTTAAAACAGCATTGCCTCGATGTGATCTGCAGAACAGTAGTTGTAGGAGATATTTTGAGAAATACACCATCCCCCAATTTGGAGATTGACAGTGCACTTTATTGTAGAAAAGATAATGACAAGTACTGTATTATGTTTCAGAATCCCTAGCTTTACTTAAACCTGCCTTTCCCAGTATTGTTTGACCAGGTTCTTTGTGACAGCCTTTTTCGAACCTTTCTACGGATAACTGTTATAGGAAGACTTTGTTTTTCTACCAATTGCAGTTTGAAGGGCAGCACATTTGGAGCTGTGAGATAGGAAATGTATGTTCTTAATAAAGAAGTGCATGCCAGACAGTGCCCTAAGTAGGCACTGGGAATATAGTGGTGACAAAGGTAGACACCAGTTGCTTTTGACAAGGAATTCATGAATTAGCAGTGAAGAGAAAAAACTTTACAGAAAATGGGAATAGCTATGGCAAGGAAAATGCAAAGCCTGGAAAACACCTAATAACTGTGTATGGGGAGGGGTTAGAAGGACTTTCCAGAAGTTGTAATGTTTAGGATGAGACCTAAAATACCTTGGAGAAGAGTAAAGTGGAGGAAGAGAGAAGATTGCAATTGGAGGGACTGGATGTGTAAAGAAAGAGCACATATGAGAAGAGTGAAAGAAAGATGTTTGTTGTAGATAGCACTTGGCATACAATTGGCAAAAAAGGGAGAAATTAAAGAGACAACAGTAGCTAATGTTTACTATTTACCATATTTCACTTGTCTTAGAGACTGTGTCAGATTTTATCTCTTAGTTTGAAGGCAGTCAGCAGTTAGTAATTCTGGAGGGTTATGATAATGCCTGGCCAAGCTCTGGTCTCATAAAGAAAGGAAAGAAGCAGATAGGCTGAAGTCACATTTTTGATGGTAGAATCGTTGGGAATTGGCTGTTGATTCAAGGGGGGAAGGTAAAGGGGAAAATGAGATTTACTTAGATTTCACTGTTAGAAAATCAAATGAGACTAGTTACTGATAAGACATTAGGAGTGGGGGGATAATGATGACTTCAGTTTGGAGTTTGTTGAATTTAATCAAAATGAGAATGGAAACATCTAACAGCAAGGCATCGTTTTCAGTTAGAGAAGTTAGAGTTGAAGGTGTTTTTATGAGGTGTCATTAAAAATATGGTGAAAGTTAACTTTTTTTGAAGATTCATTATAGTGAAAGACATATGCCACTTTCTGAAGCAGTTCTGAAAATCCTCTTGTCTTTAGTTTGCTATAGTAGCTGCCTTGAAGTCCTGAATCCATTCAAAACCTTTACCTTTTGTGGCCATTTTTACTTTGGAAAAGACCCAGAAGTCACACAGTGTGCTATCCAATGAATAAGATAGATGAAGACACACCATAACAGGAACCTGCCATTCTTTTGGATGACTATTGAAACCATCATTCAACATAGTTTTGATCATACTTCCTAAAGACACAAAAGAGGACTTCCAAAACTGCTTCAGAAAGTAGTAAGAATGATGGGGTAAGTGTATTTGAAGTAAGTGGAAATATTTTGAAGAAGATTAATGGTAATGTATCTTCTACTGTAAAATTTTTAAAAATTTAAACATTCACTATATTTTTACCTCAGTTTATAGGTGTCAACCAATAGGAACTAAAGCCATCGGGAGTGGATCATTTTGCTCAGGTGGAGGGTGTGGAGAGTGAAGGGAAGGCCTGTGAGTGAAGCCTGGTGAATAGCAACATCTAAGGCCAACAGACGAGGACAAGCCTATGCAGTAGATTGCCTTGGCACCCTTATATGCCAGTAAGCATAATGCACCCTGCACCCAAAATTGACCCACACACTAGTCTCAGAACTCAGGAGATTGAGGCCAGGGGATCAGTCAAAGCTCATTTGTTGTCACTGTTACTTTCACTACTAGAACAGGCTTTTTTTTTTTTTTTTTTTTTTTTTAAATCAATACAGAAGATTGAATCCAGTGCCTTCCAGCTGCATTCCCAGCTCCTTTATATTTTGAGACAAAATCTTCCTAGGTTGCCCCAGCAGGACTGGAACTTGGAATCCTCCTGCCTTGGCCTTTCAGAGTACTGGGATTACTGATGTGTGCCACCACGCTCAGCTTTTGAGCAAGCTTTTTGAGCACCTATGTGGGACTCAGTGGTATAGGCTGTGCCCTTATAAAACTTTGTGGGCTAGTAAAGAAAATGCACTGCATGAAAGGACAAAGGTGGTTTTTAAAAGCCATGTTTGAAATTCCCTTAAATGTAGACTAGTTTTAGAGATATATTAACCTTCTTTCAATTCAAAATAATTCCTTAAAGTATAATAATCTTAAATTGTGCCATTAAGCTAGATGGCAGAACACAAATAAACTGTTTAAACCTATTGAAAGTAGAGATAATAGGTATGATGGGTGCCATAAAAAGTACAATGTAAGCACGGTTAGCAAATATAGATGTGGAAAATGTTAAGATAATTTCTTGGATGATTGATTCAGACAGTGTGTTAAAGGAAAATAGGCACCATAAAGTCTTTTGAGGTGATTTTCAAGGAGAACAAGTATTATGTTATGCTCTTTTATTTTCGGTATAATGGATTCAGCCTGGCATTTTTTGGGCTAGTTCTGTTAGTGATTATTACAAGATATGACTATAAAGTAATGAGGGTTTTTTCACAAACCTCACATAAAAAAGAACTTTGTCTCTTTTATGATCACATGCCACAGCCATATAGCATTGTGTTAGCTTAAATCATTATGTAGGTAGCACAATGAAATTTTGTAGACATTTAGAAAAATCTTAGACTCTTAGTTGTTATTATTAGCAAAATGATATTTGAACACAGTTTTCAATGAAGCTTGCTTTCTTTGGAAAATTGCTTTTTCCATTCACAGTTGAAATTAGCTCATTTGTTGAAATCATGTCAATAATCCTCTATTCTCCATGAAGAGTTAGCATGGCACAAGTAGCAGTATATGTTACTGATGTGGTTGGCATAATTCTTTTGGTAGTTTCTTCAGCAAAGTTTATATAGTCAAGCTAGTGAATTGTCACATCATTCCAGTTTGGCATACAAAAGTGATTAAGACTGTATACATTACCATAGCATCTCAGTAATAGAAGAATTCTAAAATACTACATCCCATTGCTTTTTACTCCGAAACTGTAGTTTATTTCTTTTCTCCCTAGTTCATTCTACCCACTGCTGTTGAAATAATTTCCCTCAATCATGTATCTGATTCTGTCATTCTTGGGAGACAGGAACTTAGTTTTAAACTTATGTCTGTGAATTCTGTAAATCGCTTCCAGCCACTTAACCTTTCTGTAGCTCAGTTTTCTTGTGCCTGTGATGAAGCAGTTGATTCTTAATCTTCTAGATGTTTTAAAGCCAGCGCTCTCTCCCCCGCCCCCTCAATGAAATGCATACTCCACTCCTGAGAGTGACCAAATAAGTTACCCTGTCAGTTCTTTCCACCACTCTTCTCTTCTTGTGCATACTCCTATGGGGCAAGAAAGGTGAACTAACCTCTCACGTGTTTTCCTACCTAGGTTCCTGTGTTAGTATTATTCCTCTTTCATTGTCCATGCCTACCTTTCCCAGTCTTTTAGCTGAAAGGTTTTTTGGTTTTTGTTTGTTTGTTTGTTTTTTGTTTTTTGTTTTGTTTTGTTTTTGAGACATGATCTCACTATGCAGCCCAGGTTGGCCTTTCCTCCCGCCTCAGCCTCCCCAGTGCTGAGATTACAGGCATCTGCCACCATGCCTGACTTTTAGCTGAAAGTCTTGCCTTGCACTTTTTTCATGTGTATTAACAGAACTATGTGTCTTTTATGACGTGGCACATTTTTTAATGTACTGACTGTTTTGGATGCATTATCCTAAATAATCTAGTGTAACATAGCTCCTTTACTGAGGAATTTGACTTTATTCATCTTTATGGCTTCTCTAACATCCAGTGCAGAGTTATATGTATAATAAATAAATATTTACAGCGTTGATCACTACAATTGTTGTTGAACAAAATATAGTGTTAAAGTAAGCAGACTTAGCTAGACAGTAATCTTGATTCTGCTTTATTAAATAATAAATTAAATTTTTTCTTATTTTAAAACAGGTAATACCTATAGTGTTTTTCTCTTCCTTCATAGACAATTTTGTGAAGCAAGTAGAAGACAGAGTCTTATGCATTTACTTAAATGTTAGCTCTTTCATAGCAGTTGTTTAAACAGATCTTTGATATTTTTACTTTTACTCCACTTTTTGGGAATCAAATAATTATGGAGATATTTATAACTGTTAAAACATCTGCCCTTTTGAAATATCTGCATCAAGGAATTCATGTAGC